AGGAAGGGGGAAAGGAAAAAGGAGAGAGAGAGAGTCAGTTTTTTTTTCTTAATAGTTGCTATGTTTCACTTTTCAAAGCGTCCACATGCAGATAGGAAGAGAAAGCCTCCTATAAGCCTTTGAATCACCGTTTGAAATGCTAGTAGTGTTTTGTATGCTGGTATTTCTCCTAATCTCCTGCTCATCTGTGCTGTAAGTATCTTTATTGAATTCTCTCTGCCAACCCTTTCTGCTAGGGGTTGGCCTTGAACTTCTGCACTGCAAGGCTTCCTCTGTGGCTGAAGGCATGGTCACTGTGCAGCAGGGACCAGAGAACCCACCGAAAGAGACCGAGCTGACATCCTGGAGGTCATCCTGGAGATGCAGGCCAAGGTGAAACCTGCTCAGAGCACTCCATCTAATAAGGCTGCACACTCCTTCACTTAGGTAAATTCCGGTCTGTCTGTTATACTTGCTGTTTAAAAAAAGATGATGAGCTCTTGAGGCCCACTGAGCTAGATTACATTGCCTTTCTGATGAAGAGCTGAAAAGCAGTGAGATGGTCAGTTTCCCAGTGCCTTGAGGAAAACCGCAAGATTAAAGATCCTAACGATCCTGGTGTAGCTGGTTAGTGCACAGCCTGCGCGTTACCTGGCATCGTCCCGTGTGCATAGCCGTTGACCGTGTACATGACGGATGGTGACGGGCTCCAGCTCTGGCTTTCATCAAACACAGCGAACATGAGCACCTGCTGCCTGTCAAACATCTTCTGAACCCCATCCTCGGTGAGGGTGCCTGGGGAAGAAAAGGTGTGCTTGTCAGTAGCACCCCAGATAGAAAACTCTCATTTGCTGTTCCTAGATAGCAGAGTTTCAGGCAAGCAACCATCATAGTGATGTCAACTTGAAGAAGTTCTTATTTTAAAAATAGCATCTTGCCCTGGCCGGTGTGGCTCAGTTGGTTGGGCGTTGTCTCATGCACCAAAAGGTTTCTGGTTCAATTTGAGTCAGGGCGCATGTCCGGGCTGGGGCTTGACCCCCAGTAGGGGGCGTGCAGGAGGCAGCCAATCCACGTTAAGCTCTCACATTGATGTTTGTCTCTCTCTGCCCCTCCCTTCCTCTCTCTCTCAAAATCTATTTAATTTTTTTTTATCAAGCAATGATGATTGGGGGCTTATTAAAATCTTGCTGCCACATTAAGCATTTTATCTGGTCCTCACAGCTTTAAGAAATGGGGCTTTAGCCCGGCCGGGCGTGGCTCAGCTGTTAAGCGTGGACCTAGGATCCAGGCGATCAGGGTTCGATTCCCAGTCAGGGCACATGCCCGGGTTGCGGGCTGCAGCTGATCAATGACTCTCTGATCATTGATGTTTCTATCTCTCTCTCTCCGTCTCCTTTCCTCTCTCTGAAATCAATAAAAAGAAATAAATAAGTAAAATTAAAAAAAGAAAAAAAAAAAGAAATGGGGCTTTAAAGGTAAATCTGACCTGCCATAGAGAGGAAATGTTTGGTGACTGTCAAGGTTTTAGCAAAAGTGCCCATTTCCCCAGTGCCAGTAGACCATACGTAGGTACCATAGCTCGCTTGGTAAAGGCACTGCTCTCCGAGTTTAACCAGCCACCTCGCTTGCGCATGTAATGGCTCACTAGAGAATTGGTTGAGAGGGCCAAGGTGAATCCATTCTCATATAAGGAAAAAATGCAGCTGAAAGTAAAATGAGAGTAGAGCTTTTTATGTTTTAATTTTTTCAGTCCATCCCAGTATCCTCTGTATACCAGGCAACGAGCACCTGCATTTTCATATCGAATAAATGAGTTAGGGATTTATGTGGGGATGGTGTGCATTATGTGCACACAGATGGTGCGTTCATCCCATTATTCCCACAGTGCAGTTCATGTGGTCGTTTGTTTTAATGAAACATGAGCTGAACTTTTTTCATGGGAAATGAAAATCCAAGCTTGCTCCTCAGAAGCCCAGTCAATGACATTTCTTATAAAGGCCGGTTGAGCGCGTTTGAAACGTGCCGACCAAACTGTTCGGTTCTTTTGCAAGAAAGGAAACTTGAGTTTCGTGCCATCAGCCGAGGGCAGGCTGCTATGCTCTTTCAGAAGGACTTGGCCTTCGGGAAGTGTCACAGATCACATGGACACGGCCTCAGCACCAGCTCTCAGGCAGGGATCTGCTCGGGAGAGGCTGGGGACTGAGAGGAGGGAGGGGCTGAGGAAGCAGAGGGGGACACCAGCCCCTCAGATACCGATGTCCCAGTGGCCTGGCTTCCCCACCCTTCTCCCTCTGCTCGATTTACCAAGAGGTTCTACGATTCTCCTGAGCCTCGTTCCAGTATCGTAACATCTTTGCTATTGTTGGGTGTGTTTTTTTACCTTTCTTACAAATAAGCAGAGGTCCGATCAGCCCAGAGTTGAAGTCCTGTGTCAGATTTTCATAGGAGTAATAGATATATGTGAGGCACGGCGGGTCATCGTGAGTGGGCCCACTGTCCTCGCTGATGGTCCACACGTAGGTATATTCTCGGCCAGGAGCTACAGCATCATCCATCTTCTCCGCAGGGAATGTGTGGTCAGGGTAGGAAGCACCTAGAGAGGTAAAAGTCATGAGACACCTGGCCATGCCCCAGCTGGTTTGGCTCAGTGGTTGGAGCGTCGGCCCAGTGACTGAGGGTCGCAAGTTTGATTCTGGCCAAGGGCAAGTCCCTCGGTTGCAGGCTCCATCCCCGGCCCCCGCTGCAGGAGGCAAGTCGGTGTGTCTCCCTCACATCGATGTTTCTCTCTCTCCCCCTCCCTTCCACTCTCTCTGAAAAGCAGTGGGAAAAATATCCTCCCAGTGAGGATTAAAAAACAAAACAAACAAAAATCCCCCTGGACAGTTTGTGAGGATCTTTGCCCTCACTCTCAACGGGAGGAATGGGAGACCTCTACAGAGATATCCAGGCCTTTGTGTAGTGAACCTTCATTATTTGGAAAGATTCACAATATACCCACTTCCATGTCTCTGTGATTATAAAGGCTTTGAGTCCACAGGGATCTGAAGTCAATAAGAGACGTTACTAGCACATTATTTAAGGTTTAGTAAGTTAATTTTCCAGGCTCTCTAATTATTATCTAAATTCAATCAGAGAATTGGATCATCTTTGATCAGTGAATCATCCCAGAATTTGAGAATGGGTTATATTTTCTCCGGGGCGCTTGACGGGACATCTTATGTTTAATATCCTGTTAGCAGGGATGTAACTATACTCAGAACTGTTTATATATTGTTTTGTTTTGTTTGGATCTGTAAGTTTTTCTTGTCTTCTTTCCAACTGCTGCCACCCTCAGCCCCGCTTTATCGCCTCATCGCATCTCCGCCACCCGCCTGTCCCAACTCCTTCCCAGAGCCTTAGAGCCTCGCCCTAAATGCAGCCTGTCTGTCCTGAGAGCAGGAAGTGTGCCCACCCCCTGACGACAGATGTCCCGCTCCAGTCCTTTGTGCACCCAGACCCACCATCAACGCCTGGACGAATACCCGTCTCTCTCTGCTGGTGGGCGGGGTGGGGGGGATTGGCCTTGCTCCCCCAGGGGAGGGGACTGAGGCCCTGAGGACCCGAAGGAGGGGCTGAGGGGCTGAGGACCTGAAGGAGGGGCTGAGGGGCTGAGGACCTGAAGGAGGGGCTGAGGGGCTGAGGACCCGAAGGAGGGACTGAGGCCCTGAGGACCCGAAGGAGGGGCTGAGGGGCTGAGGACCCGAAGGAGGGGCTGAGGGGCTGAGGACCTGAAGGAGGGGCCGAGGGGCTGAGGACCTGAAGGAGGGGCTGAGGGGCTGAGGACCTGAAGGAGGGGCCGAGGCCCTGAGGACCCGAAGAGCTGCCCAGGCCCCAGCGGGCGGCTCTCAGCCGCAGAGCCGAGGTGTGGCGACGGGGAGCCAGCGAGGGCCAGGCGGGAGGGGAGAGGGCAGGGTCAGGCCAAGGGGCTGGGCAGCTCCCCCGCCTGGCCTGGCCTCACTTGACTGGGTGAAAGTCTCACTGCCATCAGCTGGCACCAGAATTTCCCTTTGGGATGAGGTGTCTTTGGTACAAGAGCCTGATTCATTCCTTGAAGGTGGGACCACCAGAGTGCTGGTGTGAGCAGACAATAGGGTCAAACCTAAAAAACCTAAAATGTTTTCCGTGATGGGGTGAAGGGCCAGTGGAAACTCCTCTTGCTGAAGTGACTGTGCTTTTTGAAAATAAAAATGCTTAATTTTTTTCCTTCCCTTTCCCTGTTCCTTTCCCTCTCCCCCTCCCCCGGCCACCATCTTTNTCTTTATCTCCCCCTCCCCCGGCCACCATCTTTCTGGAGTTATACATTACATACAATAAAATCCATAAATTCTAAGAATATCTGCTGAGGTTTGACAAATGTGTACAGTCCTAGAGCCGCCATCACAATCAAGCTACAGAACATCCCCCTCACCCCAAACGTCTGTCATTCAGCCGTCCCCTGCCCTCTGGGCCCAGGCAACCGCTGATCCGCTTTCTGTCCCTGTGTTTGGTTTCCCGATAATGTCATAAAATGGAATAAGACATACGTCCCCCGCGTGCTGCAGCGTTGGTACCGTAGATCTCTTCTGTCCCTTACTTTTTACCCTCTTGTCTTTAATTTAAAGGGGGTTGCTTGAGTTCAGCCGGCAGCTGGGTGCTGCTTTTTGTCCAACCTGACAGTGTCTCTTAGTCGCATGGTTCTTCCCCCTTGTTTTTAATGTAATTATTTATGTGCTTGGTTTTAAATCTACCATCCTGCTATTGTTTTCTACTTGTCCATCTGGTCTTTGTTCCCTCTCTTCTTTCTTGCCTTTCTTTGGAGAGAGTATTTTTTTAAATCCTCACCTGAGAATATGTTTTCATTGATTTTAAAGAGAGAGGGAGGGAGGGAAAAAGAGGGAGAGAGACTGAGAGAAAGAGAAAGAGATGTGAGAGAGAAACATGCATCCACTGCCGCCCGCATGTGCCCCAGTGGGGGACTGAACCTGCAACCTGGGCACGTGCCCCGACAGGGAATCAAACCCAGAATATTTCTGGTGTTGGGACAACGCTCCAACCAGCGGAGACACCCAGTCAGGGCTGGATTGAGTAGCTTTTATGATTCCTTTTTATCTTCACTATTGCCTTGTTAGCCTTGCTTTGTTTCCCACCCTGGAGACAGAATGATCCCTTAAAACCCCAGATCTTACTTTGCCCTGTTCCTCACAACATCTTATTTCACAAAGTCCTTAATGTGGACCGCAAGTCTGCGTGTGGCCTACCCCGACTTCTCTGCGTTCTCATTATGCCCGACTCTTCCCCTGTGCGCCGTGTATCAGCCACTCGGCCCCCTGTTAGCTCCCTGGACACACCCAGTTCCATCCTACCTCAGGGCCTTTGCAGATACTGTTCCCTCTGCCTACAGTGCTCTTCCTCCCTTTCTTCTTTTGGATAAATGTGTGCTCATCCATCAGATGTCAACTTAAATGCAAGCTTATTGCTTCCCTGATCTCTCCTTGTGCTGTGCATTTTTTTCTTTTATAGTACTCATCGCAATTTTTAACTGAATATGTGTGATATTATGTGATTAATTTCATTTTAGCCTACTAGATAAATCCTGCCCATAATGTGACCCGAGTGAGCTCCTCAAAGGCAGGCGCTGGGTTGTGTTTGTCTCACTATCTCTGGGGCCTGTCACAGTACCTGGCACGGACAAGAGCTCAGTGACTGTTTATTGAACTTTCAGGATTGAAGGTCCTGCGGGCTGGAACCAAGGCCATCAAGTCACAGCTCATGGGTATATTTTGTTAAAACTGCATTGTGTTAAAACAAATTAAATGCCAACATTAACAATATGGGAATATTATATGAGAAACTGGATTGCTGGTTTCTCTTAAAAAAACAACAAACAAAACTGAAGATCTGGTGACACTGGGCCAAACTCCTGCACAGAATTTGCCTGGACCTGAGTCTTGACTGCCCTTTAGATAGGACATCGGCTTTCCAATCCTCAGTCCCTGCTGGACTTATTTTTCATCTAATTACCCTCTTGGCTACAGAAGGTATCTGAGTTTGTGACCCTTGTACTAGTGAAAAGCTTAACATGGGATTTTGTTGTATCTTTTTTCCCCCCCAAAAGATAGTATGACATTGTTAACCAATATTTACTATAGACTGAACTTTCGCTATGTTGATAAGAAAGATTTGAGTGTTAAAATTACCAGGAACTGACAAATGTCAAAAGCTTAAATGACTTCCTGTGAGTAGTAATACTATTCTAATCTAAATAAAAAAGAAAAGGGCACTCACGAGGAAGAGTCTCTGCTGATTAACAGGAAGGATTATCTCTCAAAAGGTGCAAAATAGCTTTTGTAGCAAAGTACAAACAGGACTGATAAGGAGAGCTGCCCTCTCAGGTCGGGCCTTGTCTATTGACAGGAACGCGCGTGGCGAGCTGTTGGCCGGGCCCATCTCAAATCCAGCTCCCGGCCCTTAGTCGGTGACTCACACCTATGGCCTCATGAGGTCAAGAAAGAGTATTTCTGGACACGATGTTTCCACTGTTTCAACTGTTAAAACAGCACAGGGAATGCCTATGGTAGGAAAGGGCATTATTTCCGTGGCCTTCACAAGCTCTCAAAAGGACAAAATGTGCTCTTCCTTATAGGTGAGAGAGACCTTTTGAAGCTCTCCTTCTTCTTTGGGTAAATGCGTCTCATCCCATTCTTCAGACATCAGCTTAAATGTCAGCTACTCCTTCCCTGACCTCCAATCACATCTCCCAGTATAGACATGTATATGCCTGTATATCATCTGTGATATGACATGAATATATACACGCATAGCAGCATTACGGCACTCATCACAATTTTAGTTAAATATTTGTGAGATTACACGATTAATGATACTTCCTCGTGCTAGATTGTGAGAGAGAAAGCACATGAGTTTTAGGGTCAGAACTGAAATTTTTTGTTGTTGTACCACTTGCTAACTGCTTGAACTTGGGAAAGTTTCTTAGCCTCCCTTTTAGCCTCAGTTTTCTAATTCATTATTACATAATATAACTTTTGTTCTAACAATAATATTATTATTTGAGGACCAGAAAATATATGCAAAACGTCTGGCACCTAACCAGAGCTGTGGCCACCTGTGGCAATACACTTCAGTATTTGGGTTATTTCCTTTCTCAGCCATTTTACAATTAATGTAGCCTCTTTCCTTACATTTTACTTCTGATAAGATGTATCTTAAGTGCCCTTGAGTTCTCTTAACACATGTGAGAAAGATTGAAGGTGGTGACATATCTTTTCTAAAGATGGTACAAACTGGTAATAAGATTAGGCAACTATTCACAATCATCAGTAAAATTAATAAATTTCAGAGCCAGAGGAAAATAATACATAGCCTCTACTTTCTAATCCAGTCCTCAGCCCCTCAGGTTAGTTCAGTAATCATCACTATAATCATCATCCTTGTCATCATATTTATCATATCATCTTCATCATCACCATCACCACAACCATCATCACCCTCACCATCATCACCATGATCATCATCACCAACATCACCATCACCACCATCATCACCACCATCATCACC